GTATTATTACTCAGTTTTTACACCTGGGGAAAGTGCAACACAGAGAGGTGATGAGTCAAACTGTCTTACGAAAAATCCGTGGGCATTAGTCCGTGAGACTCTCCTTCCTCTGCATGATGTAGGATGTGATAATGATTTGTTCAGCCCATATGGGATATACAAAGAAGAATGGTTCTTGTCCCAAGGAGATGGCACTTTAGTTCAAACACACGGTATGTGGAGAACTGTTAAAAGATCAGTGATAAATGGCACAGGGCAATATGACCACATGTATTTTGTGACAGTTCAATAAAGCCCCAAACTATAAGCACTCTTACGTTTATAAAAGATTCTTCGGTCTGTATAAATTCTTTGTCAGAGCTACAGTAGATGAATTAGCACAAGGACTGCTGTGTTCGCTTCCTTCTTGTGCCGATGTGTTGATTTGAAATTGATGCGAATGTAACGCACAGATCGCAGAATTCTCCTTTTCTTGAGCAGGAAGTCAAAAGTCCTTTTAATAGATAGATGGGATGTTGCAGACTTTATAGTCGCTCATAAATCTTGCTAGGTGTGCATGTGATTAATGTCTAACAAGGTTTTTGATTGATGGCTTAGCAACTACTAATCAAATATTATAAGACCAAATCCTGGAATCCTTACATGATCCTGTGGTGAAGCTCCTATTTACTTGGGTAAGCAGAAAAATGTGGTTTCATTGATTTTAAAAATTTAAGCTGACTGTGGCTTTTATTATAAGTACACGTGCCCTGGTGAATATTTTTTTTGACACTGAAGTATGGAGCTTTATGAAGGCTCTGTGTTGAGAGGGGTGTGGGGTAGAGAAGAACAGTCAGACGTGTTAAAGTGGTAGACATGCAGAAGATGTTGAGATGGATGAAGATAAGCTGAGAAGTTGGTAGTGTACAATTAGCTTATGGGTCTAATCCTGCAGGATGCTACTGAGGCAAGTAATTGTGTAAGATTTTTTATAAAGAGATTTTTTTTTCACGCATATAAAATAACATGTGTTCTGTTAAAAATTACAAGGGCTTCAGCTAATCCCCTGCAGGGGAATGGAAGTCCATGTCCTCATTGTGCTATGTTTTATAGCTGGTCACTTGCATTTAAAGATTTTTCTTTTTCTCTTCAGAAACTGATCTCACTGCTGGAGTCAGGACATTGGACCACATAGGGGCACTCGTCTGACCCAGTGTGGTTTCTCCTGTGTGCCTGTTGGTATAAAATACCTGCTTTTCAATACAGGCAGTCCCCGAGTTACGTGGATCCGACTTATGTCGGATCCGCACTTACGAACTGGGCTTTTCTCGCCCCGGAGGTTGCGGGCGGCAGGACCACCCAGACGCGCCGAGGTCCCGCCGCCCTCGTCCTCCGGGGCGAGAAAAGCTGCTCCGCATCTCCGTGGTCTGCTTGGGGGGGCCCACGCCAGACCAGGGAGACGCGGAGCAAAGTCTCGGAGGACGCGGGCAGTGGAACCGCCCAGACGCGCCGCGGTCCCGCTGCCCGCATCCTCCACGGCTTTGCTCTGCATCTCCCTGGTCTGCTGGGGGAGGGGGAGGGCAGCAGACC